AGGGGGAAGCCGTGGTGACTGGGCCCTCGTAACCCACGATTATGCGTTTGTAGCAGGTACGGAAGCACAGGGGTGGAAGAGGCTTAAAGGGACCTCTGGTCAGCCTAGGATGGCAATGGATAGATTCTTCAGTGCCTGGGGACCTTCACCTGGGAGAGGGTAGAGAGCATTACCATAGGGCTCCTGCCATGTCGGGTCCAAGAAGTACGCAGAGGTAACAAAGACTTTCCTAGGCCCTGGCTCCTAGGTTAAGGGCCAGGTGATGCTTGTCCTCTCTGGACCCAGGCTCTCTCAGAGGGTCCTCTGGAAGTGGGACAGAGAGGTGACACATTTTCCTTGGGTGGCTCCTTCCAGGTTTAATCAGAAGGAGGGTGATCCGGGAAGCCTGGACTCCTGGGTTAAATTGTGCAGATGGGTTTCGAGAATCCTATGCAGTCTGTCTATTTTCTCTGAAATCTGGGGTCTCCAGGCACAGTGCAGGTGATGCTGGGGCCCTTGAAATGCCCTGAGGAGCTGCATCCTGGATGGAGGAGCCATTGTTGCTCCGGAGGCCCTGGGGTGGGCCAAATGCATGGATGATCCTGTTTATTAGGGCTTGGACCACCCAGTGGACTTTTCAGTCCTATAGGGGGCTGCCTCTCTGCATGCAGTGAATGTGTCTACCCAGACCCTGAGGAACTGGCTCCCCTTTGCCCGGGCAGGTGGGCAGCATCTATCTGCCAGTCTTCCCCCAGGCACGTCCCTTCGTGTTGAGTGCCTGCAGGAGGCTTCCTATCAGACACAGGGTTGGTTTTCGGTGTTTTGGTGTTTTGGCACAACTCGCATGACCTGACAATTGGATCCATAGTGTTTTCACTGTAAATAGTTGAATGTTTTCCCAGAAAATAGTTCATTTTCCATCTGAGGAGCCCTTTCCTTCCCTGGGTGCAAGGACTGGTGAAGGTCCTTCCACTGGCTAGCTGTCAGGAAGAGCAATTTTCCTTATTTGTTGGAACCATCCTGTGGGAGGGTTGTGAGTGCAGCTCATTGCCGGCAGCTTCTTCGGTTTCTGCCTGAGAGTGTGCGGCTCGGCCTCCCCAGGCGTGTTCCAGAGTGAGGGTTTGAAGTGGTATCGGAAGGGTTCTCCAGTGCTGCCTGAGCTGCAGTGTTGGCAGTGCATTTCCATCCACTGTTTCACCCGCTCCCTTCTGTCACCCTTTCCAGTGAATTATTGTGGTCTCTCGGGGTAAGTAGGGATACAGTACATAACTGGTGACCCATTTCTTGGTGATATCTTGGCTGTGAGGGAAGTTTGTTCTTCCCAGAGGGCAGCTTGAGCCTGAAAGACCAGGAGGGCATACTTCAGGTCCATGTATGGGCTAGCCCTCTCCTCTTTGCTTGGTCTGAGAGCAATACTGCTGGCTAAGCACTTGTTCTGGAGAAACGGGTGAGCTTTCTATGACTTTTGTGGAGGGCACTGCTGGGTATCCTGACCTTCAAACGCCCTGTCTGAGAAGGAGCTCCTATTTGTGAGGAGCATCCACACTGGACCTTCTAACAGGTGGTCTCTCAGATCTCCCCTTGCGGTATGTTTCCCATACCACCTGGCTACAATCAGGGGTTAATTCCCCTTGTTCTTCTGGGAGAAAGGTGGGAGGATTTAGCAAAGGGTAATCTCTTATTTGAACCCTCGTGCAGCCTAGCCTGGACTTTTTTTTTTTTTGTTGCTGAGACAAAATATCTGATGCCCAAAATGAAGGAAGGAAAGGTTTATTTAGCTTATAGTTTGTGGAGGTTTTAGTCCATACTTGACTGGCTCCAAGGCAGGGTAGCAGGACACAGGGGCAACACGTTAAGGTGGCAAAGACAGCAGAAGCCATGAGAGCAGAAAAGGGGAGGGAAGCAAGCCTCTTTTTTCTCCTTATATTATATGTCAGCTATCTGCCCCCACACACACTATTTTGGTGCCCTCCTTTTGTATGCTCACGATGTGCAACTGCTGAGTCACTTAGCCAAGCCTCTGGACTCCTCAAGTTGACACAATGTATCAACCATGGCAATCTATCCCTTGTCAACCTGGCAACCAGACACATTTGTCAACCAATCTTTAGATATAAAGACGTTATTTTTATCATTTTACAACTTGAACATTATAACACAGGTTTAACAATCTTTAAGAACCAGTATTAAGTCTATGAATAGTATATTATATTAGAACCATAACATTTGCCTCCCAAAGACATATGTATATCTCTTTATGCAAAAGGCATTTAGTTTATCTGTAAGGGTTGTTAAAAGTCTTAACAGTTTTAGCATTGCTGACTAGTCCAAGTATTAAGTCATCTCTTAGATATAAGGCAAACTCTTAGTTGTAAGCCCCTGTTTTGATTTTATTTATTTTATCTTGTTTATCTTGTGCCATTAAACACTTTTAACATTTAATGGCACAAGATAAACATTATTATTTTAAAAATTATAAACAGGGGAATATAAAAGAATGGGACCAAAGCAAGTCTAAAATCTCATAGGGCAAACATTAAGTCTTGTAGCTTTATGTTTAGCATCTGAAGCAATTTGTGGCACATTCTGAGCTTCAAGGGGCTGGTGTGACTCTACCTCTATGGCCCTTTTTGTGCTTATAGCTCTTCTGACTTTTTTTAGGCCCATTTTTTGTAGCTTTTTTAAGACAATCTGTGTTTTTAGTTTTCTTAAACTTTTGTGGTCTCTAGTGCACCTTTTGTTTTAACTCGCAGCTTTATATACTGCCCTCTCACACTGCCTGGCTTTTCAGGCCTTTGAAATCTAGGTGGAAGCCTTTTTAACTTCAGAACTCTTGCATTTTGTATGTGCTTAAAACAAGTACCACGTGAATGACACCAAAGTCTGCTGCCGGGGGGACAGCAGCCCGGCTTGTTTTTTTTCTTTTTTGACTTTAGAGGTTGAGTGCCCGAATCACTGAGCACTCTGAACCTCTTTTTGAGGAACAAATTTTTTATACCACAGCAATTTTGGAATCTGGTGCGGCTGCTGCCATCTTGAAACATAGCACACCGTGCTTTTTTTTTTTTTTTTTTTTTTTTTTTTTTGGTATACGAGATGTTGGTAG